ATGTACTTTGAGTGATGCCTTTGACCTGTGCCAAGCAATCTCCTGGAAATGCTCTATACTACGTATTTCAGTTTCTCCACCTAATATCTATCTCTAACATTCTCACAAATGCTCAAAGTTGGTTTTGTCCAGTGACACAGCATTCATAACACAGCGAGCTGTAACCCTGCAAAGACTTTGGCATGCATGTAAAGCTAAGCACTGCCTCAGTGCCTTTAGTAAGACTTCTCACTATTGTAAAGTTAAGTACATTCATAGGTCTTATCAGGATGGTGGTTGAAGATTATAGAGGCATCCAAGCTGGTTGATACAGTCAAGCCCGTTCTGTGGCACATCTATTTTAAACTTAGGTCTTCTGGTTTGTATCTTAAAAGGCCTACATGTCTTAACTGATCTGCAGAACAAATTAACTTCATAAAGTGAAAACAGCTTAGCCTTGATAAATGAATACGAACACAAAAGAGCAACTCTCCATGGTTCACATAGATCTATAGTCACCACATAAAAGGCAAGGAATTGACTAAATAGTTCTTAACCAAGCTAGAAGCTTTACCAGCAAAACAAACAAATTGCCTGTGAAAGTAGTCACTAGGATGCCAACACACAGACAAGACAAAAACTTTATTAACTGGGTAGCATATAATAATCTTAACCATAACTACTAATTAATTACTTAATTATCTAACTGGACAGAAAACCATTTTCATGAATAATTCTATTCCTATTCCAATGGCATTTTTCCTCAGTATTCCTTAAGATTTAAAACTTGTTGAAAATTGTTCCATGTTATAAAACAAATACAGTCACATATTATAGACAACAGTACCATTCACAGGCATTCTCAGCCTGGAGAAGAGGCGGCTCTGGGGAGACTTTGGAGCAGCCTTCCAGTACCTAAAAGGGGCCTACAAGAAAACTGGGAAGGGATTTTTTTACAATGGCATGGAGTGATAGGACAAGGGGCAATGGCTTTAAACTGGAAGAGGGAAGATTTGGATTAGATACAAGGAAGAAATTCTTCGCTGTGAGGGCGGTGAGGCAGTGGAAGACGTTGACCGGAGAAGCTGTGGATGCCCCCTCCCTGGAAGTGTTCAAGGCCAGGTTGGATGGGGTTTTGAGCAAGCTGGTGTCTGGTGGAAGGTGTCCCTGCCCATAGCAGGGGGGCTGGAACAAGCTGGTCTTTAAAGTCCCTTCCAACCAAACCATTCTATGATTCTACGATTTTCTTTTCACTTCTGCCTGTTTTTTTTTTTTAATTTTAAGAGAAAGAAACAAAAACTTTCCACCATGTTAATGAAGAACAAGCAGTATCAGAACAAATTGAGTGGCAGTGCCTGGCTGCTAACAAATGGGCAAGGATAGCTCTAACAAGCCAATTTATAACCAGGAATTTTTAAACTCAGTTCACAACACTTCTACAAGTAAAATTAGTGCTATAATAGGATATTTTTATACATTTATTTGCTAAATTTAAGCCCGGGGCAAATTTAGTCCCAGAAATAAAACAGGAGGTAGGTTAAGTTGCCTGAGCTCCAGCAAAAGCAGAGCTGTGAGAGTTTATATTAGCTGGCAATTTGATCCATGAAATGTGCAATTAACTCGGGAGGCTTTAAATATAGTTGTCCTGATTTAAAGGCCTTCAAAAAGATGCCGAATTTGTGAAATGTAGAAAGAACGCTGATGAACTGGTATATGAATATGGGTAAGACAGAAGAGAGGAAAATGGGGGACAGAGGAATCAAACTGACTGGGAGAGGCATCTTAAAGGATGGGACAATTTTAAAGAAATTGTTTAACTACTGAATCACAGTTTTCATTAAGCTCTGTGCAGAATGGCCACCTTCCAAGAAAAGCCACAGAAAGGAAATATCATTAGAAAGCTTATGACTTTGTGAGCCCACCCTTACATTCAAGTCAGCAAACTGTTGTGCTGTATTGTTGAGCAGGATGTAAAGAGCCTGCCAAGCACAGCCCACAGACCCGCTAATTAAGTGAACTGATTGTGTTTGTTTTGGAACCGTTTGCCAACAAAGGAATGTGTCATGCTGATTAGTGAGAGAAGGGTATGTAATATGTGTGTATTCAAACCCTGAGGAGTGCATAACCCAGGTATTTGCTCTGTTTGCTCAAGGACTGACAAAAATGACTCTCAAGCAAATAACCTGACCAAAGAGAAACTCCAGTCCTCAAGAGGGGCCCTCCTTTTCTCTCAGCTGTATCTATCTAAAGGAGACCCATCCTTCATAAATTCCTACTGGGGACTGCTCCAGAAACTGTTGAGAATATTTTGGACAGAAACAATCTCTCCACCTCAAAGCTGACCTAAGAGACCATGAGTATGAAAAGGTAACAGCCAGCTGAGAACCACCTTGGAATTGTAATGGCCTCCCTGACAGTTGTCACTCTTCTCTCCAAAGAGTGAGAAAGGTTAGGGAGGTAGCCAGAAAAACAAATGCCAGCTCAACACAGACATACCCCCACACAAACAGACCTCACTTTTCAAACATTCAACAGAGAGGTGAAGTTTGCAAAAGCTGTCATGTACCCACTTCTGAATATTTCTAACCTAACCGCTCAGTTTGCTGGTAGAATTAGTAGCATGCTTAAAAGTCAATGAGCAACATTCAAAAACAAGAAGGAAAAACATGGTCTTCAGAGTTCAGCTGCTCTTCCCTCCTTAACTCAGCAGCTACAGCCAGGGTACTTGGCAGTCTAGTACTGAGTACAAAATGTGAATACTATGCTGTAGACAGCAATTCTAGAAAACCAGGATTGAGAAAGGGAATCATAGTCAATTCTCACTGTACATTGTGGACTCAGAATAGTACAACTAAATCACAAACCTGAGCTAACTGTCTACTCAGAGCTCTCTATGACACTTAACTAACAAGCAAAGCTGAACAAGTCATCAGAAATTTCAGGTATAATTGCAAGTCTTCACATGAACCTTTTGTGACTTGCCGTTCCATCTGCCACAGGTTACTCTGTATATTACCTATTTCTAACTAGCTTCCTCACCTTACACTTGTCATTGTAGTGGTCAGCACAGATGAGAAATCTCTCATCTGTAAGAGATGGAAACAAACACAAAACCCCTCTACCTGGCCTTCTCCTTCACTGCTTTGCAGCTGATGGAGCCGCACAGTAAAACACACAAGCTCCTCTGTTGGCATGAATTGACTCTAGCCTGAAGGTGGAAAAGAGCAAAAGTATGAAACTGAAATAATCTGGTTAGCTTCACAGAGGTGCATGTGCACACACGAGTAGTAATGAGATGAGAAAACCAACTAGCAAGGGAAATGGAAAATGCTGGAGATAAAAGCAAGGTTTAGTGATAAGGAGTACAAAAGGAGTAAGCAGAATGATCTCTGACAAAATAAGAAAGAGAAATATTGGAGAACCTTTAATGCTGATTGTGTTTTAATTAAAATCATTAACAAAGTCTGCTGCCTTTGGCATGACATCAACCATGACTTCACATTTGTGAAATATGAACAAAAGTCCTTCCTGGCTTCTGATTCACATAAAAACAGGAGCTTGAGCAGCTTCTTTTGGCTTTCACTGAACTGATGACAAATACTGTTTGATTCCAGAAGGTTTTAAACTCTGTAATTGCAAGGTAAGACTGATCTCAGCTGAAGGGCGGGGGAACAATATACACCCAACAATGTTTTTGTGACCAAAAATTCCCCAGACAAATCAAATGCACAGACATTTCAAGTAAACCTGTCTTCCCAAATGCTCTTACACATTCTCATCAATCGTTTGGGAATGTCTTCAATCACCTTTTACACAGTCTCAACAGACATGTTTTATGTCATCTTAGTGTCTCTCTCTAACTCAGACTGTCTCACCATGCACCCTAGATACATTCTTTCTTCAAAACTGTTTATAGAGCTCAGCTGCACACCTTGTTTAGCTTATGCCCACTGCTTTGTCAATGCATTTTTTAGAATGAGAGCCTGGAAAAAGAATGTGCAAACAGTCTTTGAAACTCCGGTCAGGCTGAAAATCCCTGAAGAGTAGTCCGTGGTTACTTGTAATTTAACATCTTTGTGTACGCAGGGGAATCAGGTTCTTAACAAAGCCCTTTTAACAGGCTGGTCCTGATTGTTTCCAAAGGTGGCTCTTCAATTTTTTTCCCTTCAATGCAACACTTTGGAGAACAAATTAAAATGACTGTATTTGAAACAGCCAGAAAAGTACTTATCTATGGAGGAATGCTGTGCTGTCAGATATACTGTCTTCCTGTTGCATTTAAAAAAAACAAAACAAAACCAAAACAGATTCTCCAAGACATTTTTGAAAAAGAGTAACACTGCTGTGTTGCCAAGTCTGCTCTGGTTTCCTGCATTTTGCTTCTAGGTTTTCCATGTGACTCCTGTCCCTGATCTGGCATCCAGTAGCATCAGATAATGTGAAATAAAAGTTCTTTCATTTAGTTTAGCACTGGCATACGCTCATGTTTGTTTTGTAGCCACCCAAGAATAGCAATGTCATTAAAAAAAAAAAAAATCTTGCATACATATGCACAAAGTAGTATGCACACAGAAAACAAAGAATTAGCCATAACATTTCATGTGAAAAACACTTTAGAATAGATGGTTCTTGTTTTATAATGAACAATCCCAGTACATCATGCGTCCAGGGACACCAGGTACCAGAAAGATGTCTGTGATCACTCCAGAGAATCCATTTACCTTTTCAGGACACTTTGCAAACTCAGAAGAGCTTTGGATAAATCACACTGCATGATGCTACTGGGGACTCATCCCTTTTTGAACAGCTGTTCTCAGACTTACAGGGCTTTGAGAAGTAGCTTTTCCCATCTATTTCCAAGCCTGCTTGTCATGGCCTCCCTGAACCAGTAATCTAGTGTAGCTGCCCAGAAACGTGCATTAGTGGGATTCAGTCCTCTCTTATCTAAATAAGAGGTCACAAGGCTGAGAATCTGCAAGGATATCATATGCGAGTCAAATATACCACTGACATCACAGTACCTGCTCGTAGAAATGTCCTCAAAGGGGTAAAGGATTTCTCCATTGTTGCAAATCTCACAGATGAAACCCTTTTGACTACAAAGGCTACAGCTGTACACATGAGAGGTGGCAAACTTGATCACCTTCCCCAAGAAAGGAGCCAGCTTTCCTTCAATCACCTGAAATGAGAAGACAGTATTGAATGAACCTCATAAAAACGACTAGAACTCTCTGAAGGACTGAGACAATATTTATTAATACAGAAATGCAGCTAAGTGCTGCTGGTTAAAACAACAGGTAAGTTACTTCGCAACAATTATAGCTCCATGAAATCACAAGTGATCATAATAGCCAATGAACTGGCAATGATGCAAATGTAAAAATAAAGTTACTATCTCTCTGTAAGTCTCTACGTGGCAATAACATACAAGATTAGTAGACATTTTAAGCACAACAATGCATTCATATACTAAGGTAGAAAAAAGTAGATAGAAAATGAGTTTAAGGCTTCCATATTATCATCTGGCAGCTATGGATACTGCCTCACATTTGTGATTTTAATTTCTTGTTATTTTTTTATGCACAAATCACAATTTTGTCTTTGTTCCTTTTCCTCCAAACCACAAGTTTTTTGCATATTTTTTGTGAACAGAACCTTGGCTTTCCTCCTTTAGTAAGGTTGTGTTTCCCATTGATAACCATTAAAATACAATATTCCCCTCATTGTCAAAATGAATAAATTCTCAGATAAAATCTTGAACAGGAACTGGTTTTCTTCCCCCCTCAGTGTCCAGCTCTCAAATCGAGAAGTTCCTCACTGTCAGACAATCCTGCTAGACCATTAGAAGTGATTAGCACTCCCTGTGTTGGTGTGAAATAACGGCCATGCAGTATAGATTAAACTGCTAGCCACAACACTCCTCTAAATTTGTGACTTGGTGACAATGCCTCAATAAGGGTGCTATTCAGGCAAAATACTTTCCATTCAGAACAAACTTGCAGAGGCTTTAAGGAATGGGAATAATGAAGATGGAATAAGGCTCTAAGTGTATATCCCTCTCTCCAGGGCTTCCTGTGGTCTGAATGGCAGCCTGCCAGATTAGGGGTAGAAATGTGTCATGGGATTTGATAGCGACCTCCTATAAAAAGGAAAAAGAATGCAATAATTGCTGATTGAAGACTTGCACAGGGCTGTGCCCTGAAACCTAAAAGTGGGGAGATTGGCACTTAAAAGTGTGCCAGATTTAGTTCAGGCACCCCTTTCCTAAATATGGTAATACACCACTTGTAATTTGGGTTCAGTGTAAACGAATCTAGAGAAAGCAAAGGTCAAGGCAGAGAACAACCACAGGGATTTTGGAAGCACTCCTCTCCTATGTAAAGTAGAAAGGAAATAAATTTGTGTTCCAGGGCAACTTTCCGCTAGCTGAGATAGCCACTATTAAGGAGTACACATGGGAAAGGAGGTGCATAAGTAGTGCTGATGCTGATGGCATTCAATGGCACAGGCTGAAATGTGCCCCCTCTTTGCTTTCAGCTCTAGCCTGCTAACAACATCTGCAACAACAGGAAGTGGCAATGTTATTGCCAGTACTGCAGATAGGACATCTGCTCATGTTAGAGGAAAAATGACGTTCCTATTGCATCCTGGGATAGGAAGATCCCCTTCAACCAGAATATAAACAATGCAGAGAAGCTGCTGCATGAAATATGAAAATAAAGCCATAGTTCAAGGTAGTGATATTACTAACCTTCTAACAGATGGTCAGAAGTTAGTTTAGCTCTCCTAGGCTGAGTTTTGTTTCTCATTTTAAGGAAAGGAATTTTTTGCTTGCAGAGTCCAGAGTTACAGAGGGTCCAAAAGCCAAACAAGTTGGAAGTAGGGGAAAGACATGAAAGCTGATAGTGTTCGATAAACAGGAGGAAAACAGGGAAGCTACCCAGCTAGTGACGTGGCTACAATCACCCTTCAAAAAGCCATTTAGCACTAATAGATGAAATACGCATACAAAGATAATAAATAAACCACAATACGTACATGTTTTCCAAAGTATTTTCATGCTACAGCAACCACCTCTGACAGGCCACAAGAGCTCAGCTTAAAATGCCAAGCTGAAGACAGAGCTGCAAACAAACTCCCTAAATCTGTACTAATGTCACTGTCAGCAAGGACTTAAAAGTTAAATCTCTGAATTAAAACCACATTTATATAATGTAATAAACAAAGTTAACATAATCTATTACCTTCCTAAGCACCAGAGGTGATTTTAAGTCTGTACAAGGCACAAAAGGTTTCCTATGCTGAAAAGCTTGCAACCTAGCAAGACAGATTGAGAGTGGGCAGCTGCCCCCAAGGAGCTGGTGCTATTTGTCCCTATTTATTCAGCTATTTGTATGGTTCATCACAGCACTGTAGTGGGTTGGCTTGTAACTCTGGCCACTGCAGACGTACAATGAATCATAGAATAGTTTGGTTGGAAGGGACCTTAAAGATCACTGAGTTCCAACCCCGCTGCCATGGGCAGGGACACCTTCCACCAGACCAGGTTGATCAAAACCCCATCCAACCTGGCCTTGAACACTTCCAGGGAGGGGGCATCCACAGCTTCTCTGGGCAACCTCTTCCACTGCCTCACCACCATCCTCACCAGGAAGAATTTCTTCCTAATAGTTAATCTAAATCCCCCCTCTTCCAGTTTAAAGCCATCGCCCCTTGTCCTATCACTACATACCCTTGTAAAAAGTCCCTCTCGAGCTTTTCATCATGAAGATGGTACCTTCAAAGAGCCATGCATGCCAATTTTGCAATGTGGATTACAGGTCATTTTACTGTATTACAGGAGGAAGACAAAATGCAACATCAAACTGATGTTATCACTATTTTTAGCATCTGTAAATTTTGTGTCATTTTGTTTCATCAGAGATCTCAAGGCTGTGCACAGGATATGACTTTTCCTTGCAGCTTTCTCTCATTTGTGTTTGTAGTTGATAAGAATAAAATCCTCATCTCCATTTACCCTGGTAAGCAAAAAGGATTATTTCACTCGCTGTCCCCAGGAGGAGTTTCATGGTAACACTTCCCCAGTGAGTGTTTTATGGCTTGGGAAAAGGAGCATAGGACATGTAATCAAAGGTGTCAAAACTTCTGTGACTAAGCACTCTCTTGTGACAGCTGGAGGCCCAGGGTCGGTCAGTTTAGACATCCCAGAACCATGATGGCAGAGTCCCAGGATGTTCTCCCAGCTGTTCCTCAAGGAAACACAAGCGATTAAACAATAGAAGTGTGTTAAACAAACGTAATGTATTATCCAGATATCAGGGAAACCAGGCCCCGGGGCAGGGGGGCGGGAAAAGACCTCAAGAGGCCGTCTTGGCAGAGCCAGTAACATCTGTGTCGTTCTTTACAGCTGTATCTGTTACTAAAGCCTTTCAGTGACGGAGACTCCACAGCCCCCATGCAGTGTAACCCAGCACATCTCTGTTCTCACTGCTGGAGTCACTCCTAAGCTTTGACCCAAACCTTTCCCAAGGACATTTCAGTTTAGAAAATAAGCTTACAAAATGAGTTTACAAAATAAAGAAACTGTGAAATCGCACACTATGAGCTGCAGAACAGTCTATCACATTTCATAAGAAACATGGAAATTTAGCATAAAAGTAAGTTAAGAGTATGCCAAAGGAACAGAAACCAAAAATGTCACCATTGACTTATCCCTGTAATATCACACAGTCCCAACATGCACCTGCAAAGGCTTAAAAATTTATTCCTGCCTCTTAAAAAAAAAAAAAGCATCAAGCTTAAAACAAATTAAAATTTTGCTGAGTTCAGATTCTCTTCTACCTATAGCACACATGAAGAGCAAGGTCTGTTTTCTAATCCAAATTCTTTGTAGTGCAAGCAATTGCTTCGTTGTCCAAAATTAAGAGTGAAAGGTGTCTGATGATGGCATCCTGGTCATCAACTGATGGAGGGTGCAATACAGCTTTCTCTTCCTAAACTGGTTGAGAAACCCATCCCAAAAAGATTCTGAACACAGGGCGACGCT